TTCTTTTTTAATACAAATATGCTTTAATATACAGACAATAATACAATTTACAATCACAGTTATTACAAATAATGATCTATGTACAAAAGATTTACAAACTTACAACCATTATCGAGTCTTCTTTATGGTCTGGAATTTCATTGATGTCTTATCGAGGGTTCATGATGAGCGAGTTAATTTCGAGTTGATGTAGGTACGTTTCACTTAATAAGGAGCTAGCTAGCTTAGTGGTCTTCATTGATTACACGCCGATTTTTTCCGCCGATGACGTTATGTAATGTTTTTGTAAAAGTACTAATGTCCGATGTGAATTCACTGAAGTTAAATGGTTTGTAATGTTTGAAATTTATAAAGTTCCTGGTCAAATATCTGAAGTGTCCCGATTAATAATCGTTATAACAATCACAGTTATAGCTTCCGAAGTTTATAGCGCACCAACTATAGCAAACCAATAATAGATACTGTTTTTTGGCGTGTAGCGTTGGATATATTTACAGGCGAGAAGAGAGTTCCCGAAATTTCAGCAACGCAACAATACTGACGCTACACTAACGTTTACCTAAACACATATATTGTTGATTCTTACACTCGAGAATCTTCTACAACTTTAGAGAATAGCGAGAATTTTGCAATACATATATACGATATTAAAATAAATATATAATAGTAAATCTGTCACACCATCTATTTAGTCAACAAACATGGAATTTACCAGCTCTACAATGGGTTATCTGTGCTCTGACCACCGTGGGTATTGAAACCCCGTTTCTAGCATTACGAGATTTAGGAGAAACTTACATGGAATTCACTAGCTGTTATGGCATATAACATTCAATTCGCCTGTTAGGGGAGTATCTCACATGGAATGTACAAGCTATATAAAATTCACCAGCGGTATATCACCTTTCATGGAATTCAACATCTCTTAGGTTAGTTATTAGGGTACATTACATGGAATTCACCAACTATTAATTCTCCTTACTTGAAATTTACCAGGTATTAGGGTGCCTCACATGATATTCACCAGGCATTAAGTCATCTTACATAAAATTGAAGAGCTATTACAAACAACGGAACTGTTACATGGAACTCACCAGCTATTAAGGTACGTTAATTGGAATTTATCAGCTATGAGTTTATCTTACATGAAATTCACAAGCTATTATATCAACTTCCATGGAATCCATAATATATTAGTTAATTTTACATGAAATGTACCAGCTAATACTGTACTCTCATGGAATTCACCAGAGATCAGGTCACCTTACATGGAATTAACCATTTATTAGGTCATTTAACATGGAATTCAACAACTATTGGGTCCCTTGACATAGAAGTCTACAGCTATCAGTGCACCTTAGTTGGAAATCACCTGCTATTAGAATACCTTACATAAAATGTACTATGCATTTGGTCAACGTACATTTAATTCGTCACCTTTCGTGGTATTCGTCATTTGTGAAGGCATGTTACCATATAAGGAATTCATTATATATTAGGTCATTTAACATGGAATTCCACAGCTATTACGTCACCTTACACGGAATCCATCATCTATTATGGCATCTTATATGGAAATCATCAGATATTAGGTCACATTACATTTACCAACTATTATGGCAGCTTATATGAAATCAATAGCTATTAGGATACTTTACATGGAATTCACTAGTACTTAAGGTACCTCATATGGAATTCACCTGCTATCAAAGTATCACAAATAGATATAAAGGTACCTTACAAGAATTCATCACATATTATGGTACCCTATATGGAATTCACCAGATATTAAAGTATCACAAGTGGAAACAAACATCTATAATGGTACCTTACATGGAATTCACCAGATGTTAAGATACCTTACTTGGAATTAATCAGATATGAGAACACCTTACTTGGAATTCATCATCTATTTGGTCACCCTTCATTGGATTCATCATCTATTATGTCAACTTTCACGGAATTCATTATAATTTAGTTTACTTTACATGGATTGCACTATCCATTACATTACCTTCATGGAATTCACCAATTACTATCACCTTAAGTGGAATTCATCTTCTAATAGGTCATTTTACATGAAACTTAACAGCTATTAGGGCACTTTACGTGGATCTCACCAGCGATTAGAGTAGATTACGTGAAGTGTAACAGCTATTAGGGCACTTTACATGATACTCACCAGCGATTAGGGTATATTACATGATATTTACCAAATATTACTGCGAATTACATGGAATTCACAAGCTATTAGGGTACCTTATATTGAATTCACCATATGAAATTCCTCGTGTATTAGGTCATCTTTCATGGAATGCGCTAGACATTAGGGCTCCTTACGTGAAATTCACTTCCTGATAGATTACCTTTCATGGTATCCATCATCTCTTAGGTCACCTTACGTGAAGTTCACCAGCTCTTATGATCTGTTACATGAAATTCACCAGCAGTTAGGTCACCTTAGATGGAATTAAACATCTATTAGGTCAGTATACCTAGAATTCGACATTTATTAGGACACCTTACACGGAGTGTACTAGTTCTTAGCTTACCTTACATGAAATTCACTATGTATTAGGTCACTTAACATGGAATTCTCCAGCTATTACGTCACCACACATAGAATTCATCATCTAGTAAGTCACCTTACATTTAATTCATGTGTTAGTGCATGTTACACGGAAATCTTCATCTACTCGGCCACCTTACATGAAATTCTCGGCTGTTAAGTCGCCTTACATGTAATTCCCCAGCTATTAAATTATCTTGCATGGAATCCAACAGTAATTACATAAAAGTATCAGGGTACTTTACTTGGAATTCATTAGCTATGATGGTATCTTTCATAAGTTAGGTCACTTTACATGGAATTCGTCATCTGTTAGGGCATATTTTATGGAATTCATTATATATATATTAGGGCATGTTGCATGGAGTTCATCATCTATTAGTGTGCGTTACCTGGAATTCATTATTTATTAGGGTTTGTTGCATGGAATTAATTATGTATTAGGTCATGTTACATGGAATTCAACAGTTATTAGGGTAATTTACATGGAATTCTCCAGCTTCTATGGTACCTTATATTGAATTCACTAGCTATTAGAGCGCCTCACAAGGAATTCATTAGCTATTAGGACACCTCACATGGAATTAACTAGCTACATAGCATCTTACATGGAATTTATCAGCTATGAGGGTATCATACATGAAATTCAACATTTATTATGACAGCTTACATCGGATACATCACATGTTAGGTCAATATACACGGAATGCACCAGCTATTAGGTCACCTTCGATGGAGTTCGTTAACTATTAGGCATATCACATGGAAAACCTAAAGTATTAGGGCACTTTATGTAGATTTCATAATCTATTAGTTCAACTTACATGGATTTCATCACATATTAGAACACATTACATGGACATCATTACCTTTTAGGGCACTTTTCATGGAATTTGTCATCTAGCAGGGCTCGTTGCACGGAAATCATCAAGCATTGGGGCACGGAAATCATCAAACATTGGGGCACGTGACATGGAATTCATCATCTTTAGGGCACCTTAGATAGAATTTATCATCTATTAGGACACGTTACATGGAATTCATCATCCAATAGGACAATTTTCATGGAATTCATCACGTACCAGGGCACCATACATGGAATTTAATCAACCATTTCACGAACGATCTTATGCTTAATTCAACCCTTTCTTTCATACTGTATCTCGCCACTGTAAAGAATCTCAAAAGGAAAAAGAAAAAACAAAACAAACATCTGTATATTTCTCCAATGACTTCTGTAACGTTCTGAGTTTATTTTCAGATGAAAATAAACTTTTGTATAGATTAATTTGATTTGGAGGGGAGCTAACTTGTAAAATTGCGGAGATTAATATTAAATGCGGTAGCAAATGAATCCATTTTAGTAATATTGAAGAACTATCAGTCATGGCATTTTTTTTTCTACTGAGATTTATGTATGTGAAATATATATATATATATATATATATATATTTGTGTTGTTCCTAAGTTAAAAGCCTTGAACAAGAAAAGCATTAAGTTTCACTATATACAAAGTATTTAACAAAATATTTACAGAGAAAAGGATATTACCTTTTTTTCTCACTACCCTTCCGAGTTTGAGTTATTAAGATTGTTAATTTCACGTACAATTAGTTTTGTACGCTAAAGAAAGTCTAAGAAAAACTGATATTTTATTTAGTATACTTCTGAATTTCAAGTAATCTGCACGTTTGTTAGTATTCGTTGATATGACTTACTAAGTTTATAATAGATGCACTATTTTTAATTCGTGACATTCCCTTAGCCTGATGATCTTTTATATTGTTATAATTTGTCACTGTGTGAGTGAATGATAAATTGTATATTTGAAAGCATCCAATATAATTTAACAAATCCATTCAAATCCATTCATTAATATCTAGTAGATCTTCCTTTTGCTTCGTGGAGTTCGTTGATCTTTTGGGGCATCGTGAGAATCATCTCGTCAATTTTAGATTGTGGGATTTTCGCCCACTCTTGCTTCAAAACTTGGAGTAGATCGCTCTTCGAGAGGTTTTCGATGGGGTTCATGTCAGGGGATTGGCTCGGCCAGGGCAACTTCTGGATACCATTTTCTTCCTGACACTTTTGGGTGTGACTCGGTGCTCCATCTTCCAGGAACAACGGTGTGTTCTTGTCCAAGAAAACAGAGGAATAAAGTGGCAAGAGTCCTTCCAACAATATTTCGACATATTTCGCAAATGTATGTTGCCAACG